ACCTGTTCCTTACAGAGAGAAGTAATCTACTGATTCCTTACAGAGAGAAGTAATCTACTGATTCCTTACAGAGAAAAGTAATCTACCTGTTCCTTACAGAGAAAAGTAATCTACTGATTCCTTACAGAGAGAAGTAATCTACTGATTCCTTACAGAGAGAAGTAATCTACTGATTCCTTACAGAGAAAAGTAATCTACCTGTTCCTTACAGAGAAAAGTAATCTACTGATTCCTTACAGAGAGAGGTAATCTACTGATTCCTTACAGAGAAAAGTAATCTACCTGTTCTTTACAGAGAAAAGTAATCTACTGATTCCTTACAGAGAAAAGTAATCTACTGATTCCTTACAGAGAGAAGTAATCTACTGATTCCTTACAGAGAGAAGTAATCTACTGATTCCTTACAGAGAAAAGTAATCTACCTGTTCCTTACAGAGAAAAGTAATCTACTGATTCCTTACAGAGAAAAGTAATCTACCTGTTCCTTACAGAGAAAAGTAATCTATTCCTTGATTCCTTACAGAGAGAAGTAATTTACCTGTTTCCTTACAGAGAAAAGTAATCTACTGATTCCTTACAGAGAAAAGTAATCTACTGATTCCTTACAGAGACAAGTAATCTACTGATTACTTACAAAGAAAAGTAATCTACTGATTCCTTACAGAGAAAAGTAATCTACCTGTTCCTTACAGAGAAAAGTAATCTACTGATTCCTTACAGAGAAAAGTAATCTACCTGTTCCTTACAGAGAAAAGTAATCTACTGATTCCTTACAGAGAAAAGTAATCTACTGATTCCTTACAGAGAGAAGTAATCTACCTGTTCCTTACAGAGAAAAGTAATCTACCTGTTCCTTACAGAGAAAAGTAATCTACTGATTCCTTACAGAGAGAAGTAATCTACTGATTCCTTACAGAGAAAAGTAATCTACCTGTTCCTTACAGAGAAAAGTAATCTACTGATTCCTTACAAAGAAAAGTAATCTACTGATTCCTTACAGAGAAAAGTAATCTACTGATTCCTTACAGAGAGAAGTAATCTACCTGTTCCTTACAGAGAGAAGTAATCTACTGATTCCTTACAAAGAAAAGTAATCTACTGATTCCTTACAGAGAGAAGTAATCTACTGATTCCTTACAGAGAAAAGTAATCTACTGATTCCTTACAGAGAGAAGTAATCTACTGATTCCTTACAGAGACAAGTAATCTACTGATTCCTTACAGAGAAAAGTAATCTACTGATTCCTTACAGAGAAAAGTAATCTACTGATTCCTTACAGAGAGAAGTAATCTACCTGTTCCTTACAGAGAGAAGTAATCTACTGATTCCTTACAAAGAAAAGTAATCTACTGATTCCTTACAGAGACAAGTAATCTACCTGTTCCTTACAGAGAAAAGTAATCTACTGATTCCTTACAGAGAGAAGTAATCTACCTGTTCCTTACAGAGACAAGTAATCTACCTGTTCCTTACAGAGAGAAGTAATCTACCGATTCCTTACAGAGAGAAGTAATCTACCTGTTCCTTACAGAGAGAAGTAATCTACTGATTCCTTACAGAGAGAAGTAATCTACTGATTCCTTACAGAGAAAAGTAATCTACCTGTTCCTTACAGAGAGAAGTAATCTACTGATTCCTTACAGAGAAAAGTAATCTACCTGTTCCTTACAGAGAGAAGTAATCTACTGATTCCTTACAGAGAAAAGTAATCTACTGATTCCTTACAGAGAGAAGTAATCTACTGATTCCTTACAAAGAAAAGTAATCTACTGATTCCTTACAGAGAGAAGTAATCTACCTGTTCCTTACAGAGAGAAGTAATCTACCTGTTCCTTACAGAGAAAAGTAATCTACTGATTCCTTACAGAGAAAAGTAATCTACTGATTCCTTACAGAGAGAAGTAATCTACTGATTCCTTACAGAGAGAAGTAATCTACTGATTCCTTACAGAGAAAAGTAATCTACCTGTTCCTTACAGAGAGAAGTAATCTACCTGTTCCTTACAGAGAAAAGTAATCTACTGATTCCTTACAGAGAGAAGTAATCTACTGATTCCTTACAGAGAAAAGTAATCTACCTGTTCCTTACAGAGAAAAGTAATCTACTGATTCCTTACAGAGAATAGTAATCTACTGATTCCTTACAGAGAAAAGTAATCTACTGATTCCTTACAAAGAAAAGTAATCTACTGATTCCTTACAGAGAAAAGTAATCTACCTGTTCCTTACAGAGAAAAGTAATCTACTGATTCCTTACAGAGAAAAGTAATCTACTGATTCCTTACAAAGAAAAGTAATCTACCTGTTCCTTACAGAGAAAAGTAATCTACTGATTCCTTACAAAGAAAAGTAATCTACTGATTCCTTACAGAGAAAAGTAAAGTAATCTACTGATTCCTTACAGAGAGAAGTAATCTACTGATTCCTTACAGAGAAAAGTAATCTACTGATTCCTTACAAAGAAAAGATTCCTTAAAGACAAGTAATCTACTGATTCCTTACAAAGAAAAGTAATCTACTGATTCCTTACAGAGAAAAGTAATCTACTGATTCCTTACAGAGAGAAGTAATCTACTGATTCCTTACAGAGAAAAGTAATCTACCTGTTCCTTACAAAGAAAAGTAATCTACTGATTCCTTACAGAGAGAAGTAATCTACTGATTCCTTACAAAGAAAAGTAATCTACTGATTCCTTACAGAGAAAAGTAATCTACTGATTCCTTACAGAGAAAAGTAATCTACTGATTCCTTACAGAGAAAAGTAATCTACTGATTCCTTACAGAGAAAAGTAATCTACTGATTCCTTACAGAGAAAAGTAATCTACCTGTTCCTTACAGAGAAAAGTAATCTACCTGTTCCTTACAGAGAGAAGTAATCTACTGATTCCTTACAGAGAGAAGTAATCTACTGATTCCTTACAAAGAAAAGTAATCTACTGATTCCTTACAGAGAAAAGTAATCTACTGATTCCTTACAGAGAGAAGTAATCTACTGATTCCTTACAAAGAAAAGTAATCTACTGATTCCTTACAGAGAAAAGTAATCTACTGATTCCTTACAGAGAGAAGTAATCTACTGATTCCTTACAGAGAAAAGTAATCTACTGATTCCTTACAGAGACAAGTAATCTACTGATTCCTTACAGAGACAAGTAATCTACTGATTCCTTACAGAGAAAAGTAATCTACTGATTCCTTACAGAGAAAAGTAATCTACCTGTTCCTTACAGAGAAAAGTAATCTACTGATTCCTTACAGAGAAAAGTAATCTACTGATTCCTTACAGAGAAAAGTAATCTACTGATTCCTTACAGAGAAAAGTAATCTACTGATTCCTTACAGAGACAAGTAATCTACTGATTCCTTACAGAGAAAAGTAATCTACTGATTCCTTACAGAGACAAGTAATCTACTGATTCCTTACAGAGACAAGTAATCTACTGATTCCTTACAGAGAAAAGTAATCTACCTGTTCCTTACAGAGAAAAGTAATCTACTGATTCCTTACAGAGAAAAGTAATCTACCTGTTCCTTACAGAGAAAAGTAATCTACTGATTCCTTACAGAGACAAGTAATCTACTGATTCCTTACAGAGAGAAGTAATCTACTGATTCCTTACAGAGAGAAGTAATCTACTGATTCCTTACAGAGAAAAGTAATCTACTGATTCCTTACAGAGAAAAGTAATCTACTGATTCCTTACAGAGAAAAGTAATCTACTGATTCCTTACAGAGACAAATAATCTACTGATTCCTTACAGAGATAAGTAATCTACTGATTCCTTACAGAGAAAAGTAATCTACTGATTCCTTACAGAGACAAGAGGCCCAAGGGGCCTAAACGGTCACCTGAGGAATATATGTCAATAATCTGAGGATTTTCAAATGTTGCAAAAATGTAACAATACTTGTGCAGGACCATGTGTAAAACATCTGTACCAAGTTTGAACATGACCCACCCAAAGGTTCTCGAGAGGAAGTCCATAATGTCTTAGCCAAACAGAGGCCAGGGTGGCCATCTTGGATTTTGAATCACCCCCAAAAGTTAAAACACTTGTCAGGACCATGTGTAGAACATTCGTATCAAGTTTCCCCCTTTCCCCCCTCCTGGGGCCACGCCCTTTTTCTTCGCAAACTTGAAGCGGCTTCCCATGGGGATGCTTTGTGCCAAGTTTGGTCAATATCCATCCAATGGTTCTTGAGAAGAAGTCATTTAAAGAAGGTTTTTTTTTACATATGGCCCCTTTTACACCTATGGGCCCCAAAGGGGACATAATCACTTTTTTCAACATGATTTCATATGTCCTTCACTAAGGGATGCTTTCTACCAAATTTGGATGAAATCGGTAAAAGCTAATTTTTTTTTTACCCTTTTGAGTGGCCCCTAGTGGGGCCGTTTTTGACCCAATTTTTTTTTCATTCGCAAACTTTGTAGACCATGCCATAAGGACCCTAAATATCAAAAATCAACTTAATCTGACTGCTGGTTCATGAGAAGAAAATTTTTAAAGATTTACCTAATTTTACACCCTTTTCCCCCTCCTGTGACCCCTATTGGGGTCATGCCCTTTTTCTTCACAAACTTGAAGCGGCTTCCCATGGGGATGCTTTGTGCCAAGTTTGGTCAAAATCTATTCAGTGGTCCTTGAGAAGAAGTCGAATATGTGAAAAGTTAACAACGCACGACAGACAAATCATGATGAGCCTTCGGCTCAGGTGACCTAAAAAGTAATCTACTGATTCCTTACAGAGAAAAGTAATCTACTGATTCCTTACAGAGAAAAGTAATCTACCTGATTCCTTACAGAGAAAAGTAATCTACCTGTTCCTTACAGAGAAAAGTAATCTACCTGTTCCTTACAGAGAGAAGTAATCTACTTGTTCCTTACAGAGAGAAGTAATCTACTGATTCCTTACTCTCTGAGGTTTACAGTCAAATATTTGGTCAAAGTGTATGATGTCAATGGACTAAATCAAAGTATTTTCTTGACTTTTATTAGATAATAATTTCAACCATTTCAATCTTGTTCTTGTTAGCATATTGACTGTTTGGATATAGAAACATTTCAGGACTTTCTTACACAGTTCTAAAACACATCATGACTGTTCAGTGTGCCAGACAAGCACATGTGATTAAAGCCGAAGATTCTGATCAATCAAATATTCTGTACATCATTATTGTCTAAGCAATGCTGAATTCTGTACATTATAGACCTATTCATAAAGGCCACTCAGGGGTACAGAAAAAAGTGGCCTTTATAGACAGGTGTGCTTGAATATAATAAAATTACCAGGCATCAAGTCATAACAACCAGGCAACAACATAAATAACTATGTTCACCTTTTCAAATATCATCACTTAAGCTACAATATATATGTACACTTTTAAATCTTTCAATATAATCCTAACAGGGAGAGCTAACATCCTGGTTGCCTTCAGTAGTAGATTTGATCATGAAGGAATCTAGGTAGATACCCAATAACATTCAACAGAATCTCAACAATGGAGTATTAACATCAGGATTCCGTGGTTTTATTATCAACATGTTTAGGCTAAGTTAGACTAGCCGTCATCAGAACAAATAATCTTTGGTCAAAATTCAATTACAACATATATACAGTAGTGTCCACTGTAGACTCTGATTTCATCATGTCTCTAATGGTGACACTGATGCCTTAATGCACATTCTAATCATTCAGGCTTCAGACAAGACAGATTTAACAAGTTATGATTAAAGTATCTGATAAAGTACAGAACATCAGTTATTTAAACAATTAATGTAGTTTAGTAAATTTACAGCTTTATACAATAACAGATCCCCCCCGACCCACAGTATATAACTATTACAGCATTCTTTAAATGAAAGACATAATGAATTAATAAGGAAACTAGCTGAAGAATTCAATGCAATTCTCAGACATTAACATATGTAAAATGTACATATATACAATGCACTCAGAGTGTTATATTCAACCTAACCTCTATCCATTGTCTCATCAGAAAATAAATCCATCTATGTTTTTGCCAACCAGAAATTAAGAAGTCACTAATGAATGTAACACAATGTCAGCACCGTCACAAAAAAAATGGCAAAAAATATCGACCAACAAATTGCCATTTTTTTAATTTTCCAAAACTGATTAAGAAAAAAACAGCCTCTTGCATATATCATTTGGCTAATTACATCTTATGCAGGTAACGAACTCATACGTCAGATGAAGTGGTAATCACCTGTTCCGCAGGCATATAGTCAGGCTGACAGGATATGTGTACAATGTAGCCTGGCTGGGTGGCATCATACTCCGCATTGTCAGGTGAGTAATTGACATGAACTTCCGAATATGTCTGATCACTTGTAGTCACATACTCTGTGTGGCTTATACCATACTCTATCTCTTTAGAAGTATACTCAGTCTGTTTACTTAAATTGTACTCTGTCAGCTTTGGAGAAATGTATTCAGTTTGTTGTTGGTACTCGACCTGTTTTGGGGAATGGTACTGTGTTTTTTCCCGTGATTGGTACTCAGCTTGGTTGGATGTTCCCGACAAATCGGAGTGGTATTCAGTTTGTTTCATTGCCACATACTGAGTAGCCGGTGTCCGTTGGAGATCTATCTGTTGATCTTGTACTTCCTCAGGAATGTGATTCGGCCCCGTGATTCCTTCCAACTGTGATGAACCAATCACTATAATTTTTGAACCAAGCTTCTGATTAACATCCTTGTTAGCACTAACAGCCTTGTTGGTAGCAGCTTCCGAGCAAGGCCCTGACCTTTCAACCTTTTTACTTGCTCCTGTAACTAGATTAGAATGATGCTTTTTCATATGAAGCGAAATTCCACGGTCATGTTTGAATGTGATGTTACATATGTCACAGGTGCTCTGTGTAGGACTCTGGTGTGCCTTTCTGTGTTCCTTGAGCTGGACATTCCAAGCTGAGGCGTAGCTACACTGATCACATTTGTAAGGTTTCTCACCAGTATGGGTCCGCATATGACTCTTCAACTGATAGTCTTGGACACAGGAAAAGTCACACAACTGACATTTAAATGGGTGGACACCTGTGAAAGAAAATATATAAATTTGATAACATTACAGGTTTATTATCTGAAGTTATCTCAAAACATTTTCTTCTGGTTGGTAAAGTCAATGATATAAAACTTCTTATAACACAAGCAGGAGAAGATTAGTGTGACAATGACTGTTACAATCATCAGACAAATGACCAGTGCAAAGTGTACTAGCACTGACATAAATAGTGCAAGAGGCAGTAACAAATTGACCAACTTTTTTTGTTGTACTATATATAATCCTTTAAACTCTAAGGTTGAAAATAGTGTATCATTCCATGAAGCAAAAACATATCATTGACTTGGAAATTCCAAAATATTTGACTGGAAAAACAACCTTTTCAGACAGTTGATTAAGGAAGACATCTGGATATGCCACAGTGGGCCAGTACTGAACAGAGAAGAGCTGGACCACAGACTCTCACACATCTATGACCAAGTGTTAACCAAAGCATAGACAAATTGATTTGAGTACATCGTTACCATCTTGTGTGTTTTTTAGTCTGTTTACTATCTTGTCACACTATTTTCAACAATGATAAAGTACAGGCGAAGAAGTTGGTCAATTCCTCACGATCTCCTACACTATGTATGTAAGTGTTAGTATGCTCCACATTGGTCATTTGTCTGACGAAGGTGACTGTGTAGATCACATACACTACGTACGTCAGTGCTAATACACTCCACACTGGTCATTTGTCTGATGAAGGCGACTGTGTAGATCTTGTACACTATGTACGTCAGTACTAGTACGCTCCACATTGGTCATTTGTCTAACGAAGGTGACCGTGTAGATCACATACATTACGTACGTCAGTGCTAGTATGCTCCACACAGGTAATTTGTCTGATGAAGATGACAGTGTTGTCATTGAAACATCACACTTTAATTGTCTACTGGTTGTGTTATAAGAACTTTTATTCTATCTTAAGTTACCAATAGCTTTGAACTTCAACTCTAGTGAAAGCCTGGAATTTTTTTCTATAACTATCTTAAAAAGAGGCCCAAGAGCTTTAACAGTCACCAGAGTCATAATATATCTTGTAACATGTAACATGAGAAGAGGAGTTTTGAAATTTTCAGTCAATTGGACCCATTTGTGGTCCTGTCCCACCAGCCTCTGGAGGTCAGCTGAGGTCAATTAGTGCATCTCATCAAAGTGTCATCTTAAACTTTAATTCTAGCAAAGTATGAACTATTTCCAATAGAAAATAAACAAATAAATGTAATTTTCCTATAAAAACTACAGTAAACTTTATCCCCCCTCCAAATAAAGAATACACCAATAACATTACACTGATGATGATAGCTTAATGTTATTCTGAAGAGCATGTCTAAACATTTCTTTACCAGCCAAGGGAGAGCACTCCTTCAATGATACATACTTTTTTTTATTCATACTGGTAACACACCCTCATCTGTGTTTTAACTGCAATAACCAGTGAGGGGTAGACCTGTACTTTACCTGTTATCATCAGTGAGGGATAGACCTCTGTTTTACCTGTAATCATCAGTGAGGGATAGACCTGTGTTTTACCTGTAATTACCAGTGAGGGATTGACCTGTGTTTACCTGTAATTACCAGTGAGGGATAGACCAGTGTTTTACCTGTAATCATCAGTGAAGGATAGACCTGTGTTTTACCTGTATTCATCAGTGAGGGATAGACCAGTGTTTTACCTGTAATCATCAGTGAAGGATAGACCTGTGTTTTACCTGTATTCATCAGTGAAGGATAGACCAGTGTTTTACCTGTAATCATCAGTGAAGGATAGACCTGTGTTTTACCTGTATTCATCAGTAAGTGACAGACAATCTTACCTGTATGCCTCATCCTATGATTTTTGATGGACTGAGTAGAGTTAGTTGTGAATGAACAGATTTCACACTTGTGGCTGTGGATCTTGAGATGTATCGTGTCCATGTGTTTTTTCATCCCCGACCTAAGAACTATCTTCCCACATACTTCACAAGGGATTTTGTTTCCTTCTGAGGATGACTTCTCTTTACATTTCATCCCCTTTACATGACACTGCAGTCTATCAGGGCCGAAGAAAAATTCTCCACACTTTTCACACTGAGCAGCAAGTTCGGGATGTGCTACAGTAACATGTTTCTTTTTATCAGCTCGACAGCTAAAATACTCAAGACATTTTGGACACTTAAATGGTTTTTGGTCGTGTTTTTTTGCCAAATGCACTTTAAGACTTCTCTGAGTATAAAATTGTTCAGCACAGAATTCGCAGGTGTAGAATTTCTCTATGTGCTTTTCAATCTTGTGATGAAACAACACGAGTGGCTTACTAAATGTCAAACCGCAGTCACCACATGTTAACTGACCCTGCAGGTGTAACTTGATGTGGTTCTCCATAGAGGCTTTGTCTGAAGCATTAAACTGGCCGTCACATAGTTTACATGTGTACCTGTAGTAGGACTTATGTTCGAAGTCTAGATTTCTATCCTTTTGACTTTGGGAGGTGAACACTGTTAGTTCATACTTGTCCTCATGATCTTCCAACTTAACAGTCATATCTTGACATTTTTCAATAGCACTTCTGTGAATAGTTCGTAGCTCCTTCAGTTGTTGTTTTCTTTCTTTCTTTCTCACCTTAGCTATCCTTTTTGCCTCTTTTTCCTTTACAGTAAGTTTGTATTTTTTTCTGACTCTCCAAAAGTTTTCTGGGTCACTCTCATCCTCAAGCCATTTCTTTTTGCGACCTCTCTTTAATTTGGGTGTTGTTACACCACCTACACTTTCCTCTGCACTGTGACCATCACTAACTTCCACCTTGACATCCTCGTCATCTGTCCCTGGGTCAAAATCAGGATCAACATCTTTAACCTCATTTTTCTTCTGTTTTATCTTTGATATCTCTCTACTTTCACCTTCTTCAATCTCATCTTCATCACACATCTCATCATCGTCATCTTCCTCTTCATCAAGATCATCTTCACTATTGTCTAAATCTTCATCACTTATATCCAATTCAATCATCTTGGTAAATGATATGCGATCTTTTCCTTTTAGCCTTGTACTGCGTCGTCGACCGTCGTCTTCATCACTTTCTTTATTTTCAACCAGATTTTCTTGATTATATGTGACCTTGTCCACTTGATCATCACTATTCTCAACTGCTGTTTGTTCCATGGATTCCTCAGTATCTGCACATGTCACTGGCTCTGCTGATTTTGTGGCAGTATTTTCTATGGTTGAATTTTTTGTTGTAGCAATGACTTCATCAGTTTTTGTAGCTGATTTTGTAGCAGCAACTTCGTCAGTCTCTGTGGTTGATTTTGTAGCAGCAACTTCGTCAGTCTCTGTGGTTGATTTTGTCACAGTAGAAGAAATTTCATTGATATTTGTATTTGATTTCGGTGTTGTAATAGGAGCTGTTTCATCAGCTGTTATTGGAAAAGTTCTTTTCCTTCTTTTTTTATAAGGAACAGTTTCATCATCTTCACAATTTGCTTTGTTGATATCCCTAATCACAGATGCATTACAAAATAGATTTGTTGGTCGAGGTTCCAGAAGAGCATTTTTGGCAGCACTCCTGGTCTCCTTGATATGTTTGTCATTACTCATAATGTTATCATCACATTCAATTTTCACACTGACACGATCAGCAGGTAATGATGTTTGTGGTGGTGCCCTCACTTTGGCCATTACCTCAATATCTTCTGAACCACATGACTTACAGTGGAATTGGTAGTCATCAAATTCTTCTGGTAAGTTTTTCCTTAAACATAAACATATTTCAAACCGTGAACGACACACAACCTGATTTTTTTTATTTTACTAACTTTTCTCAGGATATTTTTCATGTTTACCATTCTATACATGTTATGAAATCACATACATAGCTACACAAGTTTCCATAATTTGTTTCGCCCTAGTTTCAATGGTAATGTATAAAGGATTCTGATTTATTTCAAAGGACCATTATCATTCAAGTGCTTATTACCTCTAACTTGCCCGACTTTCGTAACTTTTTTCACTTACACAATAATACCTTATCATTTTCATTTCCTACGTTTCCCTAAAATAGAAATTCTATATCAATTTTCAATTCATCTACATTTTCCACTTACCTTCTCCTACCTGTAGACGATATTCCTGACCGGCTGATGTTTTCATAACTGAAACAAAAGTAAATGAGAGATAAGGATGTATTATTAATAAAAATAGATTTTAAGTATGTATTGTGTTGAAGAGCACCAGTCTGATTATGACGTCCGTTTATGACAGCATTACATTAAGAGTTTTTCAAATATTGTCATTAAGAAGAATAATGATGAGGATTATATGCCTGTTAATTAAATGGCAAACAAAAAAAAAAAAAAAAATTGAGACAGGTATCTGAACATGTAGTGATATGTTTACATTGTGTATACAGGTAATTTTACTGGACACAGCAAATGGAAATAGTAATTTCCTATAACCTTAGTGGTAAAGATCCTGAGAGGAAAAAGGTCCCTTCATTCAAGTCCCTGCAGGGGCAGGGCATTTCAATCTAGTTCAAGCCAGTTTCTGGTTACAAATGTTAAATAACACCATTTGTGCTACATTACGGGTAACAAGGTAACCTTAATACCTGGACGAAGAGTTATAGGAACGGGTTGGTGTGGTTTGTATATAGTGTTAAATACATCTCTGTTACTCAGCTGATGCAGCATGCTTCTTTGGCTCAGTTGACAGACCCGGTTGCTTATTACGCCAGAGGCCGGAGTAAGATTTCTAGTTGGGGCACTTGACAGAAACGTGTATTTTCCCTGTTCTGTTACACTGGCACCCAAAGAAATCAGACGAGTTGTGGTATTTTCAGTCTTGGGTTGAGATTTAGGAAATCTCTAGAAAAACAGGGGCAGTGGTGTATACCAATTAGGAGCAGCTTGCTGTGGCTTGTATATAGTGTGTAATATTGACTCTGTCACTCAGCATGCAGAGCTGGTATTATCATGCCAGTGACCAAAGTTTGATTCCCGGCTGGAGCACTCAACAGGAATGTGTATGTTCCCTGTTCTGGTACAGAGGTATAGAAGGAGGTATTGTTATTATAACCACCCAGGTGCACTATGTATTGTTGATTCCTATAGCATACATGATAAGGAGTCTGTCAATTAATGATAGCACCTAATTTTGTCCACTATGACATTATTACAAGGCGTCTGTTAAAAGAATCCTGCAGCTTAAACCTGCTCCATTTCGGAGAACGTATTTATTAAGTCATTCTCTACTTTAAGGCACGACGCTATTTCAGATGGCATGAGTTATAATTATATCTTTTTTTTTTAATCATATCTATTTTGGTCTTATAAAACTTTAGTCAATCAAGATATTAGTTAATCAAGATATAACTATGCGGAAAGGGTAATCAAATTTGCCATTACCGATCCAGAAGGAAACGGACAACATCGGAGTTGCTTTTTAACTTTCGTGTTGTTTTGATAGCATTCAATCTTTCACAGTCAACATCGTTTTCTAATAATACTTGACGTGGAAAATTCTTTTTTTTCCTTGGAAATGTTTGTATTAATGCTCTACTTCGTTCGACATTGCGGGTTCTTGGTCTTCCACGCCGACTTTCCCGTACTCCATCCTTCTTTCGCTCTTTCTTCCCCGCCGCCATGTTTATTTATAGTAACGTCTAAATATAAAACCGTAGGGTCGATCCGGATAACCAAAAAAATATGACACATTTATTCACATGGCAAATTTTAATCTTAAACACTGCCAAACTCTTTTTCAAATCAATGTTTACTTACAATTGTCAAATCATATTTCTATAAAAATACTGCTTCATCGATTCCAATGAAAATGAAATCGTAAGTACACCTGCTTTTGCGCCTTTCTGCTAATTATTGTTTGCAGTAAATTATTCTATAGTGTTATAATATATGATTTTGAGCAATCAATCTTAGTAATTCGGTTTGTTTTGGCTTATCATGGGAGAATTATCTATGGCAATCGAGGGCGCTTAACCAGTGGGCCCCACAGGGGTTAATTACAATCGGGAAAGCAAAAACTCATTGTGCAGAAATACACAGATACTTTGTATGTACACATTAATAGATATTGTTAACGATTCAACATGTGTCTGTGTGTTTATTATGAAGGTTATGTTTATCGCCACGGTCGTTATTCTCACAGTAACAAAAGTACCGTCATATTTTTACACTTAGAACGAATACCCCCAAGTGGGCCCCAACTTGCAGTCAACAACGAACACACGTTGTCGATATTAAATTTAAGCGAATAGCACAACTATTTTCATTCAACTGTTATCGGATAACACTTTTAGTAGTGTTGTTCATAACATTTCACGTGTCAAACGCTGGATATTGGATTATGATCAATGACAGGCGGATACATTATAATTATAATGCTGATGTTTAGCTAACCAGTCAAGCAGCAGCTTCGCACATTCCGAATCCGTATTCACTCCAAGATCCTCCTTCATCTTTCGCCATCTCTCGATCTCCTGTCTAACATAAATTCTGGCCTTTCCTCTTTTCTGGTCTAACTCCTTCCTCCTACACTTTCTGGCACTTTCTGAAAGGTATCTTTTAGGTCCTCGTCGCCTTTTCGTATTTACGTCAGCCATATTGCTTCTTTCTAGACTTACACGCATGCGCAGCATCAGGGTTACGAACGGTAATGTATGAATTAGATCAGGACCGCACTGTTTACATTCTTTATTCTTTAGATATCAATAAAAATGGTTGCAGTGACTTTTAATTTTAGTAATTAACAGAAAGTCTTAGCTTTGTAACATATTATTGGAAAATAGAACGTTTTATATCGTTTTCTCGTAGTGTTTTTTTTAACATTATGGTCGCTTTAAGCCATAACAACAAGGAGTTAAATAGATTCAGTAGATAGCCGACTCGTGAATTACAATACTGAACGTAATTTATACTTTAAATAATTCATTTATCTATGTAATGGATGAGACTACATGTTTTACGTGACCACGTTCCCGTAATAAGACTGTGATGTTGCTACAAAGATACAATTTAGTGATACAGCAGGGAAATTTTAAAAAATGTAAATCATTTATTTTTTTGACAAGTTTTTACATATTACACAATATCAGAGACGTCTCTGACAATATACAAGAGAATCCAAACAAAAACATACACACACTCTCTCACACTTGTGTGCTATGACTTAGAGAGAGTGAGAGAGAGAGAGAATTGGGAGGGTTATAATAATTATTTAATAAAAATAGAGCTAATTTTGTGGAAATTAAATAAATATAAAATCAGTTTGGTAAAGTCAAGGTCATGACCATTGGGAATAGACTTGTTAGCATACATACTATAGTTCTAAAATGGGAATCCTTTTTTTCCAATTATTCTCAAAAGTTGATAGTGTTTTTTTACTAGAAATGTTGTACTTTTGAACATGGAAATGATCCTAAATCTTATTTATAAGAGCATCTAAATTAAGAGATTTTTGTAGACATCTTGACATATAAACAGTGTTAATGAGAATTAAAATTTTGTTATGTACAGTGTTAGCATTAGAATGGATAATTCCAAATAAATGTTTCTTTGTTTATCCAGAAAGGAATCAGAAGAATATCAAGAAGAGATTCAAATCCCTCCAATAGAGTCTGTACCTCTATACACTCTCATAGACAGTGAACGATTGTTTCTCTTTCCATAAGCTTTTTTCGAAATAGACCATAAGGAACATTCCTGGAATATCTAAATCAGCATAAGACATTACGTCATAAAGAGTACGAATATTTTTGCCGATATTGCGCCCATATAAGAAACCTGTCTGATTTTCATTTATAAGCTTTCCTAGAACGGATTTTATCCTATGAGAAATTATTCCAGAAGCTATTTTGTAGGAAAAAAGAGATAGGTCTCTAGTTTTTAAGAAATTACATGGTTTATCTCCCTTTGAAATTCAGGTTATTATGCCATGTCTCTGAGTGATAGAAAGCTGACCAACAGAAAAACAATAATTTATTGAACGGACAACAAATACTCCTATAAATTTCCAAAAGGTCTTAAAAAATTCAGGGATGAAACCGTCTGATTCAGGACTCTTATTAGTGTTCATATCATTCAAAACTTTACCTGCCTCTTCTATAGTGATCAAACCTTCCAGATTCTTAGACTCTGTGTTACTTAATTTTGGTACTCCACAACCCTGAAGATGATAATATAAATCAACAGCACAAACTTCTCTAAATCTGCATAAATTTTCATAGAATAATCTAACTTCATTTAAAATATCCTCCTGGTTTGTAATCAAGTCACCATTATCTTTTTGTTATTTTGGAATTATTTTAGAAGTGAAATTTCGACTTTCCAAATTCAAGAAATAGGAAGTAGGCTTTTCCCCTTCTTTGATCCATTTAGCTCTTGATCTGATTAAACTTCCCATTATCTTTCTCAATCGTAAAGACTCTAATTCCTGTTTTTTATTATCTAATTCTTCCTGGTCTAGATTTAAGCTAGCTTCTAGACTTTCTATCAACGTCTTTAGATATTCCTCTTGGCTGTTCTGTTGTTTCTATATGAAGCATAAGATATTGATTTGCCCCTAATTTCCATTAATAAAGTTTCTAAAAACAATTGATCATTAATCAGAAACTGAATCTCACTATCAGGAATATCTTTAATAGCACTAATATTATAGGCAGGCAAACAATACTGTGACTTAACATTCTCTATACATTTTTCAACCATATCTAAATATTCAGGATCACACAACAAAAGAATGATTAAGTTTCCATAGACCCCTCCCTCTTTTAAATTCATTTAACTGTAAAGCTGTAACTGTAGCTGAATGGTCAGATCTATAACTAGATTCAATAATTGATTTGTTAACACTAGATAACAGACAGTCTGAAACAAGGAAGAAGTCCAGTCTGGCCTGTTTTACAGGATTATTTCTTCTCCAAGAATGCCTCTTGGTATCTTGGTGAAGTTCTCTATAAATATCAATAAGATTATATGTATCGTTTATTTCTAAAACCCTGTCCCTAGCAGCTGCATTGTTTATATTTCTATATGTATTATCGTAGTCTAAATCTGGACTCAATATCAAATTGAAATCACCACAAACTATTACCTTTACATTTCCAAAACTGTCTATGGCATCTGAGACTTGATTATCAAAATCAGGATTATCGTGATTTGGTCCATAAATAGTAATTAAAGTTATTCTAGTACCCTCAATATCAATATCCAAAAAATTTCCATTTGAATCACGCTTTTCTTTGTAAACTTTGTTTTCGAAATTACTTTAAAAAATTGCGACCCCACATGAATTAGATGAAAAAGAACTGAGAAAGCTATCATAACCCCACTCATTTTTGATACAATTTTCCTCTTTTGAAGTAAAATGAGTGTCCTGCAAGCAATAAATATGATACTTTTTATCCCTCACATAAGAAAACACATCTTTTCTTTTCACTTAATTGCCAAGGCCCTGACAATTCACCTAAAGTATACAAACATTATCTATGGTAAACATTAAAAAACTAAGTGCATGAGGCAACCTCCAAGAAGATATACAGAAGAAGGGACAATACAGAGAAGGAAAAGCTGAGTTAAAAGCATCTTATAGCGAGTATTTTATGGTATTGTGTGTTTGGTTATTTAACTCTAACAACTTGCCCATACGATCAACTTTAAACGGAAGTGTGGCTGGAACTTCATAACCCACAATACACTTACCGTAGCATGCAATGAGAACTGCGGACCCGTTGAATGGATTAAAATGATTTTGACCAACAAAATATGGTTTCAAGCTCTCATGTGGAAATGAAATCATACTAAAAGTCTTAAATAATTCAAATGAATTTAACAAATATATACTTTAATGGTTTTAAATGCATGTAACGAATATCCCCTTGAAAAATTTTAATTTTAACCTTTCAAGATACGAGTACGATTGTGCACCGATGTACCTGATTTCCAGTTTAACCTTCAGGACATTTCGTCACTTTCCGCAAGACATCGTCTCTTACCCGAAAGCAGCTGAAAGGAACCAATTTGGCGAAAAAGCTGTCTCCTAACTATATTAATTCTGTAAGATGTCGATATTCTTTCGATAACTGTTTGAAATTAATTATGATCAAGTATAGAAATGTTTAGAAATTTTCCAGCAGACACTTATAAGGCACGATGATAAGATAACTATTAGTGGTGAGTTTTTTTTGTTGGGTTTATTTTTTCAGAAAATGTATTTTATGCAATATATTGTGACTTTTGAATTCCATTTAAACATTTACATTTATATTGATTTTCTGAATTACAATGTATAACACAATAGTCTCAGCAGTGTTTGTAACTTTACCTTCTTTTTGCTATCAAGACAAGTCAACATTGCTTAAAAAACTGAAGGTTCTAAAGCATGATTTGTTAATTAACAGAATGAAAACTCTCAATAGCAAAGAGAAAAAAAAAGGGTTGGAGAGAACATTCTGGTTTTAATCATGAAAACCGCCTTTACAAATCCGACTAAAACTTTAATATATTGTCTTTCACCATATTTTGACTACAAAATCCTTTCTGTTTTAAAGCAAAGATGATAGATAGTCCTCTCTGCAATATATGTAACTCTTAAAGGGAAACTCTTGTGCATTTATTTTGAAGATCTTTT